TAATTTGTCGTGATGCAAGAATCTACTGGTCCAGTGAGCTTACGAATAACGGAAATACTTTCTTAAATTTTCTTTTTTTTTAAATTTTTTCTAAACCTAAATTTAGAATTTTATATTCTTTACCTAAATGTCTGCAAAAATACTAAAAAGTGCTAGGAAAAACGAATGGGATGAAGAATCTCGAGGAAACAAAAGTATAGAGATAAGACGTTTCGATGCATTAAGTTATGTGATATTCTTAGCTCAAGAATGCAAACATGGATCTTGCCAGCATAACGGTTGTGATGCTAATTTAAGGGCAAAAAGGGCAGAAAAAGGGCAGCAAAATTTGTTTTTTTTTTCTTTTTTAACATCCTAACATTCCTAATTTTCGATTCAGAACCAGGAATATAGGATATAGGATTGAAAAAAATACGTGATAACTCTATCCTATGAGATAAGAATTGATAACTGTTATCACTAACATTACCCAAAGTTAACCATCATGAAATAAAAATTGTTCGTAGACAATGGAGACATTATCGCCTGATTATCATATAATTTAAGCACAACAAATAAATTTATCATAAAACGTAAACGCGTCCTAGCAACGGCGAAAAATCCTAATCACCGCCGTAACGGACTTCCTTCTATTTCGTTTTGTATCAGCTGATGTTCCTGGAATCGTAGTGACATCCTTTGCGTCATTTTCAGAAATTTATCCAAACAATTCGAGCAACATTGATCCTCCGAATCGCTGACTGTCCTGTGAAACACGAAAACTATGAAGAAAATTGAGTTCTCATCAAAAAAAGTCTTTGAGAGACAGGTTTTTTTGCCCTTCTATTTTAGTTACCTTTTATTCAAATCCATCTCGGTGATGTATTCTCAATTTCGATGATGAGAAAAACGAAAATGAAAAGGATTTTTTTACAAATTTAAAAACAAGTAAATACATAAATATAATTTATACATACTTGTTATACGTTTAAGTATAGAAGATAAAGAAGAAAACATGAATCAGTTCTCTAACATACGTGATAATGATTTTGGCAATTTGCCAAAACTACTGATAACTTAGTTTTTGTGTTTTAGTCGAAAAAAAAAGCTTGTCTTAAGAGCTAAATCATTCAGTTCTACAGTACAAAAGTAAAATTAAACTGCTCAAAGTTACAAGAAAATAAAAATTTCGATTTCCCAAAAAATTTTTTTTTCGGTTCCAATGATGCAAAAAAAAACACTTACCTTGTTGTGAAGTCATTAATGCAGGACATGAAGCACTGCTCAGCGACAACATTATATTGAGTTAAAAAATCCTTGAATGTTTTGAGATCGGTTTCTGTCGCATTCTCAGCCATAACTGATGACAAATGTAGCAAGACAGCTATTCGCTGAGGCAGTACCCTGAACAACATTTTCATTCACTTGCCACTTTGCACC